ATGATAAAAATTTCCCCAAAATAAACTTACTTTTAAATAAAAGCCAAAGAAACTAGAAGCAAATCTAGGTCTATCTTGCTCAACTGTCCATGATTTAAGTCATGATACAGAATCATGAGATTCTTTACCCTTGTCCTTCCTCACTATTCATACACTCCCCTTTACAGAGCTAAAGTAATGAAACTCTGTTTTGTTTTTGTTGGTTTATTTTGTAAGTAAAACTACCTGACAAGAATCATCAATCTATCAGTAGTCTGCAAAATTGTAAAGAGTTTCCAAATTCAAGGAAGAGCATCTTTTGGCATTCTTTTCCTTAACATAAACAAAGTTTTTAACCCTCAAAATTATGAATTTCATATACATATATATATGTACAAGGAAGTGTTCAGCATTGAAGGTTTTCCATATTTAACTTACTAAGAAAATAAATTTGTTGAAATTAACATTGGGTCTCTATTTTTTGAAATACAGAGGAAGTGTTTATTTCCAATCAGGCCATTCAAAGATAATACACTCATTATGCATGGATTTATATTTATACAGTTTTAATAAGCAATGAATATATCTACTTACCAAGTATATGCCTCTTGTAATTTAGAGATAAAAAAATTATTATAGATACAGTCATGTAAAATGACATCATCAATGTTTTTTTTTTTTGTAAATCATGACAACATATTCCATAGTATTGTCTTTAGTGAGGCAAATCCTTACATTTTTTGTGATAGAGGGACTATTAATATGTATAAAACTAATCTGAGCCACTGTTTAGAACAGATAACAGTAGTTATAATAAACATTGGTGGTTTCATATGATTCAACTTTATATAGAATGCACATATACATATAAATTCATTAAATTCCACCATACTTTTAAACAGAAAGGGCATAGTCACATGAAATTTTCCATATCTTAATATCTAGTCATCCCCTTTATATGATAGCAGTTCTTAAGTAAAATTCTGTTTTTGTGTGTGTGTGGGTCTTATTTGTTATTATTCCTCAGTCTTGAAATCTTGCATAAGAATAGCATTATATTTTTCTGCAACTCTATCTTATGTCAATTCCTTAACAACATTTCTGTCATTTCCTTAACAACATTTATTAAAAGAGGACACTTATAAGTGAATGTAGGAGGAGGTAACTACTTCAATTTTGAATTCTGATTGAACTTTGCAAAGATCAAGATATATATATGGCCAAGTGCGGACACATAAATACATTTTTTTGGGGGGAGGGGTTATTTCATTTACATAAAGTCAAGTATTTTAAGACTTTCTGAATAAGAGCTAAGCTATGAATAAAAGTAGGAACTTATATTCCACTGAACTGTAATTTTATTGCAAGTGATTGCTAAGATATGTAAATGATTTTCAACCATTATCTTATCAGATGCTTAACTCAGAATTTTCTATTCCTTACTATGGATTTTTTTCAGGTTTTTGATTGCAATTTTCATATATCTATTTAGCTATGATGATAAGTAAAACATTTTTCTTACAATTCCACTACTATTATGAAAGTATTTTATCTTTATCTCATATAAATCAAATTAAGTAAGTTTCTCTCTTTGGACAGTAAGGAATGAGGAATAGACTGTCCCAAATACCAAGAAATAAAGAAGGAATTCAAGCAGGAAACAACATATTATTATTGACAGCAAAATGAAACACATAACCAAACTTTTTGATAAGAATGAGTTCTGTCTCAATGTTAAATGCATATTATTTTTAGGGCATTTTCTGATATTGATCTTCAATGTGTCTTACTGAATATTTCATTTAATCAAATACTTGTTATTTACATTGACAGAATTAAAGGGATATTGCTATGCTTATATGATGAATCTAGTTTTATTTTTATTTTTTTTTCACTTATTTTTATTAGTTGGAGGCTAATTACTTTACAATACTGTAGTGGGTTTTGTCATACATTGACATGAATCAGCCATGGAGTTACATGTATTCCCCACCCCAATCCTCCCTCCCACCTCCCTCCCCACAAATTTTTATGTTTTTTTTAAACAGGAATTTTTTTAAAACCCAATTTTGAAGGAAAAATTTCCCATAAGAGTTTCCCAACAGTGAAAATAGTGCTTTTGCAAGATTAATTCCAGGAGTACCAGTAGAGAAAATCAGGTCCAATGAAATGGCTTCAAAAAACAGACAGAAATGGAATTATTCAATAGAAAAAGAAACTAAAGATGTGTATCCCAATGAATGAAATTATAATGTACTATCCCTATTGTGCAATTGAGTTGACCTTTATCATATTTTATCATCTGAACCAAGCCTTAAGAAACATGCACCACTGACATTTTACATCTACATGAAAAATACTTTCATACATTTTAACTGCTAGTTTTCCATTATAATTGTTTCCAATATAATTATATAATATATTTATATATTATATAATATATAATAATTTTCCAATATAATTATACATTATAATTGATATAATAATGATATCAATGCACTTGAAAAATATGTCACAACAGCTATTACTATGGAGACAAATTGATTTTATCTTGCTGCTCTAATAAATTTTACCAAAGTTTTATTTTTCATTATTGCTATTAGCATAGCAAACAAATACCTTCTTAAAATGAACTAGTATGTTTAGTGTTGAAGGCAAAAGGAGAAGGGGGTAGCAGAAGATGAGATGTTTAGTTAGCATTATGTCGTCTCTCAATGGCCATGAATTTGAGCAAACTCCAGAAGACAGTGAAGAACACAGGAGTCTGGCATACTGTAGTCCATGATATCACAAAGAGTCGGATGCAGTGACTGAACAACAACGTTTAATGTCTAGGTGTCTTTTGCAGAGTACAGTACTAATGTTTAGCCTTCTCTGGCTCAGTTTCCCTTTATATAAAATAATGGTAATAATGAAAATGGTGATGATGACCATAAAAATGATATTACATCCCATTAGCTTTCTTAAGCATAAAGAGCAATAATATAAGTCAGTATGTGAGCATATTATGTATAATAAGCACTATATAAGTACTGGCCTATCTGAAATTATACTCATATGCTGAAAAATATTAGAAAAATAAATTGGGAAAAATATTGGAAAAATAAAAATGCTACAGTGTTATAGCAGTTTATCACTGGAAACTGTTACAGATTGAAGGAAAAGGATGGTTTTGGAAAAGTTTTTAAAATTTCTATGTCTCTTTCTTCATTTGAGAAATTGATGATAAAGTTTTAGCTATGGAGTTGTACAAAGCCAAAGAGCTTATGAATGTGACAGCCCTTTATTATGAAATGCTACTTGATTCTAGCTTTTCACATACTTACCAATTTAATAAATGCCTATTTAGAACATTACTAAGCATCTACTGGGCCTAGTGCTGGTGCTGAGATATAAAAAGAAATAGGACAAGAAAAGAAATAAGACAGATATTCTCCCCAACTTTGTAGTATTAAAAATGTATAAATATTATGGTAATACCAAATTCCCTTATTTTGAGTGTCAGCTCCCAATTATTTGAGAATTCAAATTCTGTTTAAACATTGAGTAAACTACTTAAAAAAAAAAATCATGACACATCATGTGAGTTCATACTATCTAAATTTGAATATTATTGAATGAAAAAGCATATTTTAGATGAAATGTCTATTCAAGTCATTTCATGAAATATAAAGACAATTCTCTTTATTCTTCAATAACTAAATAATGTATGCAGCTTTTATTAATTCAACTTGACTACCTCAGCTTTTACTGAAATAATACCACCACTGTGAAAAAATTTAAAGAACCGGATGTGGTCTTTAATCAACAAGGTATATAGATTGTTACTATTACTGATATCTTTTAACAAATAGAATTCCTATAAGACGTTTTAAGGAGGGAACTACTTATGTATGCATATGGAAATCAAAGGATGTTGAGTGTCCTAGAATCTATTAAAGGCAGAGGGTCATTCTCAAACTTAGATCTAGAAGTTCACCAGGTCTTTGAGGGGAACTACAGATGACTTGTTTCAGGTAGAATAAGACACTGCCACGACCAAAACATTGAACTTTGGAGCTTTGGAGCCCATGGGAAAAGGAGGACAAGCGGGATTTTCCTAGTCTCGCGTTTGCTAAACCCAATCAGAAGCCAGTGAGAGGATGAGACCATATTACCCTAGAGAAGGGGTCCCCAACCTCTGGGATCTAATGCCTGATGATCTGAGGTGGAACAGATGTAATAATAACAGAAATAAAATACACAATAAATGTACTGTCTTGAATCATCCTGAAACCATCATCTGCCTGTCTATGGAAAAACTGTCTTCCACAAAATTGGTCTCTGGGGCCAAATATTTGGGGGACTAATGCCCTAGAGAATAGATAAAGTAATAGGAGGGAGGTATATGAATGAGTATGGAGGAAAATGAGGAATAAATTGCACAAATGTGATACCACTTCAATTGCAGTAACATTCAGGTCTTTGCTTTTACTGTCTATTAAAACACAAGTTAGCAACTGAACAACAATAGCCTATCATTATTTAAACTAGTATTTCAATATGAACTCTTAAAGCAAAGAGGTTTAGAATAGATTAGATGATTTAATGACGCCTCCTCTAAAAATCGCTGTACTTAGGAGCTTATTTAGAAATGCCAGTTTTTCCACGAAGTCACGAATGGCCTATTAAAAATTAAAATTAAAAACTCATACCATATACATTTTAGCATCTTCTTGATAATAAGGACAGGCACATAGCATTATATGTACCTAAAATCTGTAACGCGGATGATGCCGTCAGCAAGCAGGCAGGCTAAGAGATCCCAACTCTCCTCTCCCCCAAGAAAACAATGAAGAAACAACTACAAACGGAAGAAAATAGCTCTGGGAAATCTTTGAAGGATGACAGAGTCGCAGCAGAAACTCCGTGGAACACAAATATCTGTGACTGGCGCATAGGAAACGTTTTAGCTATGCTGGGCCATCCCATCCTCTGGTTTGGAGCCATTCGGTGACAAGATGGAGGCTCTCAAGGGGCTTTCACTGCAGCCACAAAAGAACCGGAAGACGCCAGTCATCTTCCTCACCACCGGGGACATCCGCAGCCTTTGCTACTGAGGGTCCCATGGCCGTCACTGAGGCGAATTCCAGAAGAGCTATCCTAGAGTCCCTGGTGCTCCTGTGTCCTCCCCAAGGCTGGACCTGGGGCAGACAGAGGGAGACTTGCTCCTGCGCACTCTTAATTGTGCAACGTGCCTTGTTCTCCACGTTGAGACTCCACAGTAGCGTCCAGTGGTTGGGAGCTGCCCCTTCCTTGTGTCGGGCCTGCTGAGTCCCAAGGTGCTGCTTGGAATTGCCTTCCTTGGGGTCGTGCATCCAGTACACAGAATCCAGCCTTCCTGGGTCCCGAATCCAGCTTTGATTTCCCATCACCTGGGCCACACTGCTGTATCGTGCCTGGTCCCCGAATCCTGAGTCCAGGCTTTTATCCACCATCACCAGGGCTGTGCTGACACTGCTCTGCATCCTGACCCTGTCTCCTGAGTCGAAACAAAAGAGATCATTTTTTTGTGGGGATGCTGAGAAAGTGAACCCTTATTCACTGTTCAGTTCAGTTTAGTCACTCAGCCCTGTCATGCTCTTTGCAACCCCATGAACCACAGCATGCCCGGCCTCCCTGTCCATCACCAACTCCCTGAGTTTGCCCAAACTCATGTCCATTGAGTCCGTGATGCCATCCAACCATCTCATCCTCTGTCGTCCCCTTCTCCTCCTGCCCTCAATATTTCCCAACATCAGGGTCTTTTCAAATGAGTCAGTTCTTCGCAACAGGTGGCCAAAGTATTGGAGTTTCAGTTTCAACATCAGTCCTTCCAGTGAACACCCAGGACTAATCTCCTTTAGGATGGACTGGTTGGATCTCCTTACAGTCCAAGGGACTCTCAAGTGTGATTAAATGGGTACAGTTACTATGGAAAACAGTAGGGAATTTCATTAACAAAATAAAACAAAACATAGGATCCAGCAATTCCAATTCTGGGTACATATGAGAAATGAAACCAGTATCTCAAAGAGATATCTGCATTTCTATGTTCATTGTAGTGTTATTCATAAGAGCCAAGACATGGAAGCAACTGAAGTGTCCACTGATGGATAAATGGATGTAAAAAATGTACTGGGCTTCCCTGGTGGCTCAGTGGTAAAGAATCTACATGCAATGCAGGAGCCACAGGAGGTACAGGTCCAATCCCTGGGTTGGGAAGATATCCTGGAGGAGTACATGGCAACCCACTCCAGTGTTTTTGCTTAGATAATCCCATGGACAGAGGAGTCTGGTGGGCTACACTCCATAGGGTCACAAAGAGGTGGAAAAGACCAAAGTGACTAAGCAGAACGTAATATTCTGTACATTAAATATATAGAATATCTATTTGTTGTGATTGCTCTGGTATTTTAAGTTTTGTACTGAATCCACTTTGCTAAAAAATAAAACATTTTTAATGTATCTTAGAAAATTAGCAAACATTAAGAAAGTTGAGTATATTGCATTGTGCATATTTAGATAAGACTCAGAAAATTGTAGACATTTTGTTCCCTATCGAAATAGCACATCACAAAAATACATTGTTATGTATAATTCTTATGAATGATTATAATCCTATCAAGGAAAGACTTTATTATAACAAATATTCACATGTATGAAATTTTATGTACAGTAACTACAAAAGTAAAAACTAAGGAGACTTTGTCAGCACTTTGAGAGCTGAAACCATTTTAAATAGTAGGAGGAATTCAGTTCGTATCAAATATACACAGATACATACACATGCACAATGGAATATTATTCAGGCATGAAAAAGAAGGAACTTTCTGTCATTTGTGATAACATGGGTGAAACTGGAAGACATTTTGCTATTAGACATAAACCAGAAAGAGAAGGGTTTCCATGCTGGCTAGGATAATAAAGAATCTGCCTGCAATGTGGGAGACCTGGCTTTCATCTCTAGGTAGGGAAGATCCCCTGGAGAAGGAAAAGAGAAAGACAAATATGGTATGGTATCACTTATTTGTGGAACTTACAAGAAAAACAAGAGCCTACCTCACAGAAAAAGAGTAAGAGTGTGGCTTCCTAGGGTTGAGGGTAGAAGAAATGGGGAAGTGTATTTCAAAGGCTACATCTTTTCAGTTATAAATTGAATAGGTTCTAAGGAGCTAATGCAGAGCATGGTGACTATAGTTAATAATCCAGAGTTGCATACTTGAATTTTTGAGAGTAGATTTAACTGTTCTCACCACACACAGAAGAGATAACAGATGTATTAGTTAACTTGATTGCAGTAATATTTTACATTGTGTACATTAAATCCTCACATTGCACACTTTGTATATAATTTTATTGTCTATTATTCCTCAATAAAACTGGGAAAAAACTAAGTCATGTGGAAACTAATTTATAAAGGCTAAATTTTACTTCTTGCACTGCTGTTAAAATATAATGTTTGAAATATTTCTAAATAAGACTAGATTACACTGAAGATGAAGTTTCTACTATTTTCAAATATATATATTTTTACCTCAAGCAATAAGTGTGTTAATTGATATGAAAAGGAAAGATGGATGGGCATTAGACTGTGGAAGTCAATTAATTAAGAAAATAATACTTTATAAAATCAATTAGAAGTTGTCAACTAAATTCTCATTTTTCATATTTAGAAGCATTTACACTTCATAATCAGATACATTTAAAAGAAGCAAACATGCTTATATTGTAATAATTAACTCTTTATGAATTACTGTAAATATATTACATGTATATCTTAAATATATTTAATTTTATTGACTTTCTGTGATGTGTTTTGTATACATCATCATAAAACCACTTCAAAGTAACAGTTTCTATATTAGAGAAAACAATGCTAACTGTTATAACTCTATAAGATCGATAACTATCAGTGACAAAAAGAACCCCAAATTTTATATCTTGTTCATGTCACCATCTAATCGACAGCACGTGAGTGGCTATTTCTGAGTCCAAGGCCTTTTTCAATATACAAATTTGCATCTTTGAGTTTTCTCCATGCCATAGGCAGATAGGAAAAAAAAATGTTGTTATCTAATAAATTTACCATTTTGATTAAAGCATGAAATGAATTAATAATAAAAAATGGTTGATTTTTTCCATAAAAAGTACAGATTGACAAATTAGGGTAAATCAGTAATAAATTTTACTAAAAAAAAACAAAAATAAAAGAGAACTTCAACACACAGATAAAGAAAATGACCTTAGAAAAGAAGAGTACAGATGTGAATATGTTTATATTTAGTAGTATTAACCTATTTGTAACCTAATCTTATGATTTTTATTCTCTTTGACATGTTGATGGTAAAGACACCTGATAGGGTGAAGGAGATATGTGGATATCAAAATTAGAAGAGAGGTAAGAAGGTTAAAATTTGTTGTGGAGTGTAAGATAGATGGGCAGTCCCAATGGCTGGCTCATGAGTGATAATACATTTTAGGAGGCTAATATGACCTCATGTGTGAAATTATCTCACACTGCTCAGCTGCTCGGGAAAGAACATGCTACATTATGATAGTCTAGGTCATCCAAGGCTGCTCTTTGGCTTTATAGGCTCAATAAGAGTAACAGAGGAACAAGAGAGTTTAGAGTATCTGTAAGAATGTCCTTGAAATCACAGACCATGGAACTCAAAGTAGAGAATGACAAAGTAAGAAAAAAAAAAATTAAGGTAGATGCACAGAAATTTATGGAGGGCTCAGTTCCTGATGAAGTTTTTGACCAAGCAACTAGATAAAAATAATAATAATAATAAGGCTGTGATCACAGCTGGGAACCACTGAGCTAGTGATACGTAGAGTTGGAGTAATTGTATTACGGGTAACAACAAGGTCAAAATTGAAATTGTGTATGTGGGTTGTTGAATAAGTCAAAAAGGTCACTGAACATAAAACAATCATAAAACTAAAAATCTGGTTCTTTCATGGATTGTCAGCATGGATATTTACATCCACTCAGGATGATGGCAGTGAATCTTAGGGGTGGAAAAAATGATTGTGAACCAGGTGTCAAAGTGTTCAAGGCAAAATGTAAGTGTTAGAGAAAGGAAGAGAATAACAGACTATTTAAAGAAGAAAAAATGACCTCAATAGAGAGAATACCAACCTCCACCTCCAGATTCTGAGATCAGAGACATATAGGGCATAAATGATGATTCGAGAGAGTTTGAGGATAAAGAGCATTCTACATCCCCAGAGAAAGAGAAATTGAGTTCAGTTAATGCAGTCATTAGAGAAAACTAAGTTGAAAATGCAGAGACTTCTGCAGTCATGGCGCTCCATGGTGGAGGACTTCTAGAGGGAGAGATCTGAAGAATGAGACAGTGACAAAAAGTGGAACTCACTGTGGAGTAAAATAACATGCTAGAGAACTCTTGTGGTGATGAGGCGGTTTCCTGCATCCTGACAGATGCAAACAGAGATGACAGTCATGAGACCAGTGGGTTTTGTCTCAATCGTATTGTTGATGTGGATGAATATAGTACCTCTGGTTAAACATACTTCAATCTGCCTGGTGAATGTTGACACAGAAGATGAAGATCTTCAATCTGCTTGTTCTGGATACTAATAGCTCTCTTAGCATGTGCAATCCCCTCCCTGAAGCTACAAAATAAAATTTCATCTTCTAGTTCCACATGGAGAAAGAACGCAAATTTAAAACAATTAATAAACAGTTCTGAGTAATGAGATTAGAAATATCTGAAAGTGGATGTGAACTGAGGCACTTAGGCAGTAGTCTTGTGATCCAAATGACAGGGCCTGGATTCTCTGAGCAGGTCTTTAGAGATCCCAACCGTGACGCATCTGTCTAAGTAACCATTTCAGGGGATGCGCCCATACAGAGCTTGGCACCCTCTTCCAAACCGGAATTTGGACCTTGGAATCTCCACTCAGTGAGACAAGTCTTTTCCTTGCCCTCTTTCTCCGCTTTAGAGCATCTTTGGTGTTTACACTCCTGGGCCTAAGAAATAACCAAAGAGAGAGGGGCAGGAAGATATAAGCCTTTCACAGGCTGTGGATGATGTCTAGTTATATGGATTTTATTTTCCACATACATGATCAGGAAGCCACAGGGGAGGATGGGGCCAATTATGAGAAGTAAAGATGAACATGCTGTGAACCAGAAAACTTCCTGTGTACTTTTGTCAGGATGAAAGTGGGTTTGCAGCTAAATTCTACATTTCCTATGCCATTAGCTGGACTTTGAAGAGAAAATCTCTCATGTCTCTGCATCTTAGTTTCTTCAACTAAACAATGATGGTGTTTAGCCTATAGTATCATTCCTTGGTTGGTTTTACCCCTCTCAGTGAATTAAGATTCTTTGAAAAAAAGAGGAAGAAAATAAGAATTTAACAAATGATACAAATAATAATTGACTTTTTTATCTTAAAGGGATTTATACACTTTAATAAATTAAGGAGATTTTTATGCTAATTAATTTCCCTTG